AAACTGTGCTAAATTAAGTCTACCAGGTTGTTCTGCTAAAGCGAAATAAAATATTAATGTATTCATTTCAATAAACATTTCTGTGCTACCAGTGATTGATCCAATTACTATACTAATCATACATTTTGATTCTTTTAACAACTGACTCATGGAATTTCAAATTGCAAATGAGGCCCAGTGAATGTATTTCAATTATTTAATATTCATGTGACCCAAAGGCATCACTGTGATGGCCAGTTTCACAACAGTTTCACAAACAACAGCTGTGAACTGAAAAAGGCTAAAATCCAGGCTGCATTCTGGTGAGGCCCAATGGTCAAGGTATACTATTTTACACAGCATGAGAAAAAAATAAAGTCATATAGGACAACGTGAAAAAGCTGCTCAACATAAGACAAATCTTTCCTATATACAAGACACGTGCTTTTCCTACTTTTAATCAAGTATTTTATGACATACAACTATACCCCAGTTTTTCCTGCCATGCAAAATAATAATAAATTGACTTTACTTTCAGATGTTTGTGACAAGGGGAGGTAATGGATGTCTTTTCTTTCTTTTCCTGTAAATCAATTCCATTCTCTCAATGGTAATGTACAGTAAGGCTTCCGGAAATGGAATGCCTGAAACAATGCCAAGAACTTTCCCATTCACAGAAATACTTGCAAATACCAGTCATAGCTCTCTACCCATCAGTCCATACTCTATGAACGCTGTATGGTTCTCCACTAATACCCAAGAATGAGGTCTGAATACATTTTAAAATGAACTTATGGTGTTTTCATAGCTTCTGCTTTACTTGATGAAATAGTTGAGTTGTTCATGAGGTTGCACATTTATGGTTTCATGAAGTATACACAAGTTTAATCTAATTTTTTAAATATATTTCCAAACAAAAATTATAGTGGAAAACCAGAATTTCCTCTACAAAACAAATCACAATAAATAGTTAGTATGGGTGGATGCTTAAAATAGGAGCATACAGTGATGAAACAATAATTTAAAAAATATCTTCCATATTAATATAGTAGAAAGTATGGTTAAGAAGTTACAGAAACCTAATGTTAAGGCTTCATAAAGAAACTGAGTTGGACGAGGTTGCTGATTAATACAGGAGGCTGGTAAAGGTGCATCTCTAACTCTCAGAGCAAGACATTTTATAGGCTTTAAAGGTTTTGAAAGTTAAAGGAAAAAACAAGACAGAGGTCTACTCCTGCAGTGAAGCGCTGTGTGTGCTTTGGCAAAGCTTATGAGGTTTAACTAGCTTCTCTAAAACCCAGAGTTTTTAAGAACAAGAATTGACTATCTTGATAACTCGATCATAGAAAGTTATAGAATTAATGGCCAAAGAGTTTCTTGATCTTTGATCTTTTCCTCTCCCACTATTACTTTATGTTATTTATTACCTAGGAGACCTTTCCAAGGAAGAAATCTTCATTAGAAACAAAGAGTGCAATTCAGCTAAAATTCTTTGGTATTTTGAAACTCCTGATAGAAAGAAGGATCTTATAACAAAGTAATATCAAAATCACTTCATACAATAAACTAAGCACATTTGGAATATATTTTTCAAAACTTATTTCTGCAAGCGACTATCAACAGAACCTCAAATAAAAATCCCTACCCTTTCACCTTTGCTGTCATTCCCTTTACTCTTTTTAGATATTTTTTCCATATCAGTTACTAGTTTAACTTCCTTCTTCAGGATCAGATTGTCGAATGTAGTGAATTCCAAAGAAAACCATGAGAAGTTAAGGCCCTGCTTTCAGGGCTTTTCTTATTCTACAGAAATGATTCAGCTGCTTCAGCCTTTTGGGGACACAATTTATAGTCAGAAAAGTTATTTATATGATTTAAAGCATTTTAATTTTTATGTGAAAACACTCAATAAAAATTCATTTGCATTTGAACATTGTCAGGGCTCCCTCTAAAAGGGCTGCCAGCAAAAGATTACAGTGTTATTAAAAAGTTTGTGCAATGATTAGTGCCTCAAGTTTTATGACATGCAGAATTCAGCTGTTTCCTTTAAGTACAGATGTTTTTCTGCTTCACTATTATAAATACATAGTCACTGGTAACTTTTAATTTGTTAATAAATTTGAAATTTCCAAATATGGATACTGCATACATCCTTAGAGTCTTTTGAGTTCAACAAGAGTTATGTGATTATTACCTTCATAAGCTTACACTGAAGAGGAATTTATATTGTCCTCGGAAATCATATGGTTTTCTACATGAGTAGCATCTCATTTTTGCAGAGGGATCTCAAAAACCAATATTATTGGAAATATGTGTTAACATAGGTTCAAAAGCAACACATCACATTTGCTACCAGCAGACATAGCTCACTCTCTTCCACTTAGATGGTCTAGACTTGCATTTCATATGAAAGAAACATTACATTGCCACCAATTTTCTACCACATTTCTATCTCAGATTATTTAGAAAAGAAACTTCTGAGACACTAGCACTAGGTGACATATTTATATTAAATGGGAGATTTAAAAAAAAATTACTGTGCTCAACTTATAACATGAAAAATAAGAATCAAATCACAAGAAATGAACTGCATTGCTCTTTCCTAAAAAAATGACAAGTCAAAGTCCATGCAATTATGTTATATGTTAAATATGGATTTTTATATAAGGAATAATGACTGCTGTGTAGCATGTGGCTAATGGTTTTGTTGGGTTTTTTTTCCTCCATCTTGGGACAAAACACTATTTCCTTCCCAACATCTTGAACAAATTATAAATAATACAATATCAATGCGCCAAAGGTGTGAGAGGATCTGTATAAATCTTCCTTTTTATTTGTTCACTAAGTTCTTAGGTCAGCTCTTGCTAACATTTGCCAAGCATGCTTCTGAGATGACTTTAGGGAGAAGGAATTGGATTCTTGAATAATTTATTTCATCTTTAAGGGAAAAAAGAAATTACTACATCCTTCCTATTTCTGATTGGGATGTTGCCCTTGTACTACTTCACATTTTCCCATGCTAATGCATTTTTTCTGATTTATGTTTTTTTTTTTCTTGATAGTTTGTTGTATACATTCTGCACAAGAGAGATGGATTTCTATAATGTATCAGCTAATAGTTCAACATATTTTAAACATGAATTCAAACATAAAATTGAAGAAGAGCTCTTTAATTGCATTTATTTTGTGTTCAACAGAAAAAAAATTAAAGCACTTGTAAGTGGATTACTTTTTTCCACCCTACCTCCCAAGGTGTAAGGAAATGATTGTGTCAACACCAGAGGCACTCTAGGTAAGGACACATTAAGAAAAAAATGATACTGTAAAAATATTGTTTGAAAAGAGTTTTGTTTTTCTGAGCAGAGCTGCTACTGTTCGTATTTACTTATTATCTCAATATTTTAAAATTAAATAATTGAATGTCCAATTAATAATTTTCAGAACCTTATTTTTTTCTAGTATGCAAAGCCAATTCTCAATTCAATTCCAACTCAATTTCAAATTCAAATGGCTAATGTCAAGTTCTCAGTACTTTAGTACCTAGTAGCAACATGTCTTATTCTGTACAATGACTTTGGTTTTGAAATTTTTGTACAACAACGGCTACCTGTTGTGCAGTAAGTACTGGGGGGGAAAAGAGCTGTTGAAGAAATCTTATTTTATGTTGGTTCACCAACTTAAGCTGCTAATGAGACAGCGGGGTAGGTTGTTTGTGAAGATTAAAAATCTTCAGTAATTTGGGAAATAAAAATCCTAGCAGTATCTAAAAGTACCAACACATTTATGCAACTAGTCAAAAACAAATAGAAAGAAAACACAAACAGCTGAAGAGGTCTGAGGTGTGACACCTCTGAGAGGTGTCTTGTTAGAAATTATCGTAACCCTTCCTGTAAGCTAAAGTTTACAAAATTTGGAGGACAGTTGGTTATACCATGTTTTCTCCTGCATCTAATAAGAGGGGGAAAGGAGAGAATGTAATGTCTCCTATTTCCTTTTCCAAAGATGTTAACAAAAATAAAAATACCACAAAAGATTTATATGGACATCTTCAGACAAAGGCATCATTTACAGATGTAAAATGTCCATCTCATCTGAAAAATATGGTGTTCAACAACATTTAGAACAAGAGAATAATTGGAAAATCTCTGCATAAGACTTGCAAGACAACCCCTCAGATTAAGTCTAATGATATTAATGGACTGAAATGTTTATGACTTAAAAGTTCATATGCAATTTAAATAATAGTTATCTCAGTGTTAATTTCAGTAAGAACAAATCTGGCCTCTTACAACACAGGACTATGAGAAAGGTAGAACAGAAGTACATTAATCAAGAACTCTAATGAAACTTAATAGTGTCAGAAAGTAAAATTCACAACAAAGATATCCCATATGTGACAAGACAATCTCTACAGTCAATATTTAGTTAGAACCTGTATTGTCCAGTTTACTGGATCTGTATTTGGGTACCACTCCCTAACTATTCTGCCAGAAAAAAGTTCCCCTAAAACAAAAATTAAATGAAAATTAAAAATTAAATGAAAAATATCCTATGATATAAAATAAATACCAGCCAGGAACATGGCTTCATGTTTGCCTTGCACTTATACAATACAGTCTCCAAGGAAGAATCCCACTTTGCTTTTGCCATGACAGAATAAACAGACTAGAAAACCATTTTTAAAAGCTATATTCTTCTTTTTGTTTAAAAATAGTGATAAAACAATTAAGAATACCACTACCTTTTATTTTAGTGACTTTCAAAGCTTTGCAGAATATATTTCCATCACTACTGTGATTTTCTAAAAGGTTGCCAGTCTATTTGTTGAAAAAGTAAACTTATTTCCTATATCTAACTAAGAACGGTATAAAATTTATAGAAAGTGGGTCTGAAGATCAGTGTTACTTTTGGCTTCAGTATTTGCAGAAGTGTGCATCCACTGTGTTTATGGATGACATATAGCTTTTGCAAGAGACATTTAAAAGCATTTGCAACACTGAACAAATTGACCATGTACTTACGGCATGGCGTGTTTGGTCTGCTCACAAGCTGTGGGAATGCAAAGACAGCTGACAATTCCAGTTCATGGTCTTGATTTTTTTCCTTTTCTTCAGTCTGGTCAGCCCAAACTACTGATTTTTGTCTTTGAATCAACTGTTCAACCTCCGCAAATTCAGTCTCAGATAAATTATTTGTCAAACCAGCTTCTTTCAAAGTCAGGTATTGTTTGCGAAGAATTGGAAGCAAAGTATTTAGTACTCTGTAAAACAACAAGAGGTGAGACAAATATAACTAAATCATAACTAATCTGATCCTTACTAGCATTGCCGCTATTAGAAATACTGGGTATTTTTTGCCCTTCTCACCCCTTCCCTCCCCCATGTTCTGCTGTGTAATTTATTTTGATTTATTTTAGGGGAATACCATACACTAAGAGGAAATATTAGTGACTAAGAGTGATTTTTCTCTTTTGCAAGATCTTGTATTTCACTCTAAGCATTTACTAAGTAAATTTTTCTCTCAGTGTCCAAGATCTTCAGTCCCTCAGACAACACGGAAATAGTCAGTATATCTTGACTGAGTTCTGACTTTCTGAAATTAATTATCAGAGAAATTAAGAGTATAAACCAACTAATGTGGTTTAAACCAAGCACATCTTGATTAGATGTGCATAGAACCTTATTAGAAGCCTAGTCCAAATAAATCTAGATATTAGGATCTGTAATTAAAGAATGGAATATATTAAGAGCCATACACAATTGCAAATCAAATCAAAGTGACAGAAGTTTATGAATTTTACCTGAACACAGGAATTCATTAACTGTGGTGTCAGCTGCAAGACTAAACAGCAGGTTCAAGCGATAGGGAAAGGGATATGTCCATAAAAACCCAAAGAAGCAACTTTTTTATTACTAACAATGTAGCTTTAAAATGTTTGCTTTCAGTTTTGCAGGTTTATGTATTAGTTTTTGTAATGTTTATTGTAACATCCTTTTCTGCAAAGGAGGAAAAGCTAGTAATTTCATTTTGGTATTATTTAGTTATAAATTTGATATAGTTATTTACTGAACAGATTTGTGATTACTTCCCATTCCTCATGTCACACTCTCAAAGCTAGTCTGCAACATTTGCACAAGACTGATAATAAAAAAATAGCTGATGCTCACCTGCAAATTCAGCTTTTTTCAGTCTGACTAGCAATGTATGAGTTTAATAATAACAAGTTTTAATACACATAAATTAATGTCTACTATACAAGAAATTAAAAGAAAATACAAACACTTTAAAAAATCAATACTGCTGTTCAACACAGAACAAAATAAGACACCTTGATCTATTGAACAATTCATAACAACTATGCTAAGAAGAAGATTAAGTAGAAATAAGAGACTCTAGACTATACCTGCAGTTTCTGGTAAACAATGATGGATACAGACCAAGATTTATGAATTTTTATTATTTTGCATATCTTTTTGCTTAAAAACCCCACAATTCTAACCTAGAAAAAAAGTTTGAGAAAAATCTTGCTTTTGTTTCAGCTAAAACTAAATCCTATAGATGTGTCTTCCAAAGTTACAAATATCAGAATGTAAGTCTTATCATGCCTGCTATGAAATCATACTTACTTTTCTGTCTGCTTATAATGCTGATCTTGAAGGGACATCAGAGATAACATGTGCTCAATCTGGGCTTTCAGGTCCTTAACTTCTAGGTTTAAATGGCAACACTGCAGATCTTTGTAGAGTTCCTTAGGAAATTAGCAAGAAAAAAATAAAAAACTGCACATCAGACAGACCGAGAAACTAAAACGTAAACTAAAAATAATACTATTTCATCCTATTTTGAAAAGTAAACATGGACTGTATCTATGTTTGATGATAGAAAAGTAAGAATTGTTTGATTTTTGTTTACATGCATAAATATGGCTTTGTAGATTATTTTGACCAATAGTGGATGTGCTGTAATTAGCATTAAGAATTCAACAGGCACACATGTATGCTTATCTATGCTTGCTCAAAAATGTTTGCCTCTTTTCCTGAGTACTTGCCCCATATTTGAATCTCAGTGACAGTCTGAGACAAGTTTTCACTGTAGTCAGCCATCTTCTTGAGATGCAAGTATCTCGTTTAAAATATCTTAATTTCCTTTAAGGTATTAACACATTTTAGTAATCCCACTAAAAGTACAGGTATTGAAATATATTCCTTTATAAGAGTCACATAGTGCTCATTACACTATTATTTAATAGCACTCCAATTGCTGGCTGAAACTAAAAGGCAGGTAGGAACAACCCCTCACCTTTCTTTTCATCTTCTTGTTCCTACACAGACCTTCATCCCTTCCCTTCTGCCAGCTCTGGTGCTTGCCTGAGGCTGCACCGAGCTGACTCTACTTGCTAAGACTTGGCAGAGAAATTAACATAATTTCCCACTTCTTTCCCCCTTTCTACTCTTCCCCTAACACCCTGTAAATAAGAAGGTTTTTCTGGCCAGGCTAAGAATTAGGTTGTCACAGGGTTAGGTGATTATCAGGAGCTACTGTAAAGGCAAGAAGTGTATGGCCAGGAGCAGGACCAACACCCTGGCAGCCATTAGAACTGCTCAGCCATAGCATACTTACTCCCCTTAAGCATGCATTGTTGTATGTAATTGTACACTTTCATGAACAAGCAATACTTGCACAAACAACAAAGTACTTTTAGGGCAGAAGAATGGGAACAGCTAACACTAGAATTTGAAACGACCCTGAAAGAATGGCAGAAGCTATGAGTAATAGTGAGACAAAGAGAGGAGAAAAAAAAAATAAATTAAATAATCTATTTTTATCAAGAGTCAGATGTTGCCTACAATGCATGAAGTCTGCCCTTGAAGTGAAAAGCATTTTACCTTTGGAATACACCCATCTTGGCCCAGGAGGCGCATTTCATTTTCAACACGATGCAGCCAATTGGTATTTTCCTCAAGATGTTCGATCTCCTCTTCTTTCTTTTTCTGCATGTGTATGCGGTGGGTTCTAAGCATTGCAAGCCTTTGATCCCGTTTGCAAGTGGCCTAAAAATCAGCATTAACAGGGAAAACTTCCAAATTACTTTCACAAATGTCTCTACATAAAGAAAGATTTTTTCCATAGTTTTATACTCAACTGGGCATAACAAACATTTTACATTTTTGATCAGTTTAACAGACGTGAAGTAGCACATTCTCTTTATGGGCATTACCAAATTAAAATGGGCATTACCAAATTAAATCTAAACATTTTCTTTTTTTTTTTTTTTTTCCTGGAAGCCCTTATAACAGAGACTATAGTAATTTGATTATTCCTTTAAAGAATAGTACATTGGATTTGATCAATTTCAATACTTATAAGATAGTCACTCTTGACCCTTAGTAAATCACGTGTTTAAGTTAACTAAAGACAAAACCAATATCTGAGTACAGTACTGGTAACATTCAAAACAACAGTTAAATCAGCTCATAAAAAACATTGGTATGAAATAGAGTGTATGAAGGTATAACTCCTCATTATGAATAGAGATACAGCTACGCTCCGTTGTAAGCAGCATTTAAAAGAATGGCACAGATAGAAAATATTACTTTGAAGTTCGTAAAAGAGAATTCTAGAACACATTAGTCACTTGAAATACCTTCATTAATGACAATCAAAAACATGTGATATATTTTCACTCTGACATTTATCTAAGGGCCAAATTTCATGTGAATCACTTGGGAAAAAAAAATAGTCATATGGTAAGCTATCATGTTTGGCCAAATGCAGATTGTTACTGTGACTAAGCAAGGTAAGCCTCACCCTCAACTTCAGATCTACATAAAACATATATTCCTCTAAGCTGATTTTTATCAGGAAGATTAAGATGCTATCTAACCATGCTTACTTATTTATACTTTGATTCTTCTAGAAAGACATGCGTATTTAATATTGCATAACAGCAACTGTTCATACTTAATCCCCAAATTCTTCTCTTAAAATTAAAGGCAACTAAATGTAATTATTTCAGTTCACAGGACACTGTCATTAAGCAGCTATCCAAACATCTGCCTGGTGACAACTGAAAACACCAATAATAAGAATCTGTCTTGTTTAGCACAAGGTCCACGCTTTTCCTTATGAAGCAGACTAATGGCTGTACCATACACACGTGAACTTGCTTTGGTTTTGGACAAGAACACCAGAAGTCTCCTAAGTATAGTGAGGTCTCGAGTAGCTATGACAACCAAGGCTACATAAGGACAAGCTGAAAAGTTTTCATGATTAGCAGCAATAAGCACATCAACAGTTTTCTGTGCAGCATGGAAAAAAATAGCACATCTGGCATTACTACAACTGTATTAACATCAGAAAATGTTATCTGAGTGATCATCGGTGTGTCCCATTTTAATTAAAATTTAAGCATTGACAAATTATATAATTAATTAAGCAAAATACATACATTACTAGAGGAAATATTAAGAGACGATACATTGTATTTCATTATAGAAAACTCACCTTTTCTACTCTTTCTTCAGAGCACAGCAGTTGAATTTGTTCATGACACTGTTTCTGGTAATATGTCTTCAGTGCATTTTCTTTCAGATGCATTTCCAACTTGAGGTATTCCTTTCTGACATCCTCACGGTTTGCAAACACATTTTTAAGGATTTCTTTGTATCTATTAGAACCAAAGGATAAGAATAAACAATGGATTACTTACTAAAGAGTTTTTTAATGATCGCCTCCTTTACAAGGGGAACTTTCAATTCCAAGTTCAGAAGTTAATAAAATAAATATAAAAAGATTACGAGGAAAAAAATTAAGTCTGTAATAGATGCGCACTAAATAAAGTGTCAGTGTGTCAGTAAAGATTTTATGAACTTGAACTGGAAATGGGATGTGCAATTTTGAAGAGGTCACTACAAATAAAACATTTATTTAAGAAGATGATACTGGGATTCAAAAGAAAGACATCTGGAACTTCTTCACATGTCTTATCTCTACCTCCAAAAGACACTAAATATTTATGTTCTCTACTACTTATACCAATTTAGATCTGTTTAGATCAGACTACTGTTGGCACAGACACACAGGTCTCCTTCAAAACACCTGCTAGTTATCTCTCAAAAAAGGAAAATCACAAAAGTGTCTTCAGTTGCTCACTTTCTCTGAAGTTTTCTTGTACAGTTTTAATCACTAATGGATGACAAAAATCAGAACATGCATCATGTTTTAACACATGCTAGGCTAAATAGGGGGAAAAAAAACAAACTAGTGAAACACACACAGAATTTAGAAATAATATTACTTTAAGGAATAAAATAGTCAGTTGCAGAGTATTAGAGTTCTTACCCTACACTGTTACTATCTATACAATCTGCACTACTGTAATATCTGTTGCACAAATGGTTGGAGAATTTTTTGCTTTCATAGTATCCATAGAAACATGGTTCCACCCAGCTACCTGGGAAACACAGCAACAAGAAATGAAGGTGAGTCCTCTCTCTGTTTCTCTCACAGTAAACCCCTGGGCATAATTTAAGAGAGGCTGCAGATTCTGATTCTACATACAGTCACTGTGAGAAACTATTACTGGTAAATCAACCCTTTTTGTACTTAAAATCATCAGTGTCCCAAATATAGCACCAAGTATAGAAGCTTTTGCAAAGTTCCTGCCTTGAGCTGGATTCACTCTTTCAGTGAGTACACTTCTATTCTTATGGAGTTATCCATATACTCTCTTCTTCACTTAAAAATGACCAAGTGATCCTGTAGGCATATCCACCAGGGTATGAACTCTCTGGATTACCTCGTCTCAAAAAGCAAGTGGACCTGTTGGTGGTAGTTCTAAAGCCAGTGTCCAGCGTCTACCTCAACAGACTCAAGACTTAAGGATTGGCGAACAAAGCCCGCATCTCCAGGCTTTAGACAACAGATAG